GTCCACGATCTCTGCACTAGGCACAGGAAAGTGGCCGTCTAGGGCAGGAGGGCTGCCAGCCTGGCCACCCAGGACCAGGTGTGCATGAAAATCAAGGGGGTCCACTGAGACCCCCGACCCTGAGCCCTGAGCTTACAATGGCCGTACTGGGTCAGACCAAAGGTCCATCTAGCCCAGTAGCCTGTCTGCCAACAGCGGCCAACCCTAGGGACCCTGGAGGGGATGGACCGAAGACAGTGATCAAGCCATTTGTCTCGTGCCATCCCTCTCCAGCCTTCCACAAACTTTGGGCAGGGACACCACTCCTACCCTCTGGCTAATAGGACTCCATGGACCCAACCTCCATCACTTGATCTCACTTCCCTTTAAACTCTGTTCTAGTTGTAGCCTTCACAGCCTCCTGCAGCAAGGAGTTCCGCAGGTTAACTATTTGCTTTGGGAAGAAGAACAACTTTCTCTTACTAGTTTCAAGCCTGCTACCCATTCCTTTCCTTTGGTGTCCTCTAGTCCTTCTTTATGGGAACTCAGGAAGAACTTTTCTGAATGCACCCTCTCCACCCAACCCCTGCTTTTAGAGACCTCTATCCTGTCCCCCCTCCGTCTCCTCTTTTCTAAGCTGAACAGTCCCAGTCTCTGTAGCCTCTCTTCATCTGGGACCTGTTCCCAACCCCTGATCATGTTAGTTGCCCTCCCCTCTCCCAGCCTTTCTCTTCCCCTCTCCCACCTCCTTTTCCCAGTCTCCCCCAGTTTTGTTCAATAAAGACAGAGTCAATGTTGGAAGAAACGTTATCTTTATTTTGTACATCAATAAGAAGGGGGGCTAGGGAAGGGTAAGTGGAAGGAGGTGAGGGAGGAATGGGGTACGAGCCCCCGATGGGGAGGACTGGGCTGGCTCTGCGGGCTTCTGGGGGTGGAAGCTCTCCTGCAGCCCCCCAATTACTCCCTCTCCCCAGATGGCAGCCTGCGGCAAGTGCAGCCGGGCTGATGGCCGAGTGGTGTGATGTGCCCAGTGTGGGCACTCAGGGCACTCCAAGCCAGAACTTCTTTGCAAGCGGGGCACCCCTTAGAACTGTGTGTCCGGGGTGGGGGTCGGGACCCTTTAAGCGCAGCCCTCGGCTAGCCTGAGACAGCATCTCCATGCTCTAAGTCCTCCTCTGATGCCCTGCCGGCACTGCTTCCGGCCATCCTTAAGCCCTGTTCAGGGTCCACTCAATGTGGACTTGCTAGTTCGAATTAGCAAAACGCTAATTCGAACTAGTTTTTAGTTCTAGACGCGTTAGTTCGAATTAGCTTAGTTCGAATTAACTAATTCGAACTAAGTTAGTTCGAACTAACTCTGTAGTGTAGACATACCCTCAGATACAGAGGTCCAGTTGTTGGGTGGAAGCATTTGTTGAACGGGATTATATTATTGGTCTAATAATTTGACATTATACGGAAATGAAATTGTCCTAGTCAGGTTACAGGAATGTTATTGCATCACAAGTATATGATTAACATCCTGTAATTGTACTGTAGTCTGATTCCCTGTTGATCCCACATGGCTACCTTGGACAAGGCCTCTTCATCTTCCTGTTTCTATTGCAGCTTTCTTCAATAAACTCACCTCAGTCTTTAGTTTCCAGCTATTGTAGTTCTACTGTACTGATTCACTCTCAAATCTTAACTTCAGATTAAAATAATTTCTACCTAGAAGTGGGTGAATAAATATTTACAGTTTGTTTCAGAATGAAATGTGGCAAAATATATTTTTTTACAATTACATCTAGTAACCTTCCTTAGTACTAAATCCTCATATTCCTCTATTCTTGCTGTAGTCAGCTGACGGAAAAGTAGACCATCTTTCACAAATGAGGGGTATTAAATATATGGGGCTATGGACACTTCACTGAGCACAAGAATTCTCTCCCCATTGCTCCACACACACATAATTTTGTGAGGTGCGAAGAGAAGACTCCAACAGACTGCAGCAGGCTTTGGATCAGACTCATTTTGATGGCCATTCAAATGAACAGAATTCTTTCACTATGGGAAAATAAGGGTATGTCTAGACTATATCCCTCTGTCGCCAGAGGGATGTAAATTAGATGTACCAACATTGCAAATGAAGCGGGGATTTAAATCTCCCGCGCTTTATTTGAATAAAAATTGCCACCGTGTTTTGCCGAGTCAGCAGTTTGTCTGCAAAAAGCGGCTGTCAAGACAGGGATTGGGCAACAAAGAAAGCCTTTGTCGGCCGATCCCTTATGCCTCTTAAAGCGAGGTTTACAGGATCGGACGACAAAGGCTTTCTTTTTCGCCTGTTCCCCATCTTGAAAGCCGGTTTTTGCTGACAAACTGCTGACTCAGCAAAATGCGGTGGCCATTTTTATTCAAATGAAGTGCGGGAAAGTGCAAATGAAGTGGGGATTTAAATGTCAGTATGTCTAATTTACAGCCCTCTGGCAACAGAGGGATGTAGTCTAGACATACCCTGTGTGTAATAATTTCTACTGTGTATTCAACACTGAATACACACTACTCTTTACTTTTTAAAGTAAACACACTACTCTTTACTTTTCAAAGAATTCATACATGGTAAACCTTTCCATAATGCAGTTGGTACAGTGAAGATAGAGTTCTTTTTTCTGAAACAGTACGCTAGTTAAACAAATCCTTGCACAAAGTAATCAGATTTTTCGTTTCTTTTACAGCGCCACACATTCCCACTGGTAAGCATGAGTTTTTTTCCTTATGAATTTATAATGTCATGCTATTGTGAATGCAAATCCTATTACTCATTTCTCCATATGGAAGGATGTCCATGTTACCTGGCAAATCAGAGTGACATATCTGTATGGACATGGCATATGATTCTGGGTTGATTGCTGCTTGGAGGTGGAATGGATCTTCAGCTGAAAATTTTCATAACACTAGATAAAATGATCAAAGGACAGATACTATGCATCCATATAAGGCCCAGGCAGAGAGAGGGTTAAGGTGTATGAAGGCTTGTACCCAACCTGTGTCAGCCCACATAAATGATTATTTGGACCCCTTGAAAGTTCTATACAATCAAACAGAATATAGTCTCTACAATGACATTTTCTTTGCGTGTATGGCATCTGCCACTAGAGTAGTGGAATAACAGGAAGGAAAACTGAATCTTATGTAATTTTTTTATACCACAAGCATTGCATGGTTTCTGTTCTTGAAACAGAGTATTTGAACAGTCCGTCATCAAAAAGTAATTGACTTCTGGGTTCTTTACAGAGTGGGGACAGAATCCCGAGCAGCAATATTGATGTAAGTAACATATTAGTGACTTTGCCATTGACTTTATCTGCAGCAGGAACAGCATTTTGAAACTGATTCCCCAATATTTTATCCATTGTTTAATTCCATTTTAGGCTTCCTAGAAGTTTTTAGATTTATTATTTTGTGCTGAAAAATTATCTGAATATTCCCTAAATGATGGGCCCCAAAATCATTCTTTATCCATATTTCTATGTGTGATAAGCAAAGGCAAATAAGTGTATTGCACTCAGCAGAGGCCATAGTCACTTTCTCTTTGGAAACATTACACAAAACTAGAGTTATCTTGCTGAAAGACTGTTTCCCCTTACTTAGAACCCTCTCATTAAAACTCCCTATAGATGTTCTTTGTATAGACAGCATACTCTTTTCCAGCTGATAACTAGTTTCTGGTTTCTTTTAAAGGGTTCATAAAAAACCCAGTCCTATGGCTGAGGAAACCTCTCCCTGCAGTTTTGCTTCAGTGCACTGCTCTAACTAAATGTGTGCTTAGCTTTGATTATGGCTAATAGTCATGGTTGTTGGAGCCTTGCTTTTAAAGAATTAAATGAATGTGATTAAAAATTGAGAACTGTGTGTGAGATTCTTCATCTAGCTCATCAGTTTGGGATTCTCATGTCATGTAGAGCCAATATTGCAAGAGCACATCACCTTCTCGTGTACATAGAATGATGCAGTATGTTACTTGCCCCGTAAGGCCAGCATTCCAGGTGTTGGAAGGAGAGGGGTCGTGCCCAGAGCACTATTGTGCTCTATCAGTTGCCAGTTGTGGAATAGTCCCGTGGGGAGAGTCAGGTGTTGTCTACACTAGAGCTGACACAAATCCTTGCACAAAATAATCAGATTTCTGGTTTCTTTTACAGAACCACAAAATCCCACTGGTAAGCATGGGTTGTTTTGTATATTTCTAATTTCATGCTATTATGAATGTAAATCCTGTGCCTCGTTTCTCTCACATGGAAGGATGTCCATGGTACCTGGAGAACCAGAGTGACATATCTGTTTGGACATGGCATAGGATTCTGGGTGGATTGCTGTCAGGAGGTGGAATGGAGCTTCACCTGAATTTTCATTACACTAGATAAAATGATCAAAAGACAGATACTACACGTCCATATAAGGCCCAGGCAGAGAGGGTGAGGGTGTATGAAGGCTCCTGTGATAGAAGAGGTAGGACTCACCCTTTTTTTCCCACAGTTCACTGACAAATTTGTTCCTATTCTATAGCAGTACATCATCTGGTCTTAGCAAGACGATAGCCCACCTTACTGGGAGAAATGTATGAAAATGTCTAGTGTGGATCTGGCACAGTGGAGTCATCACCTTCTAGTTTTTGCCTCTCGTATATAGACAAATAAAAATAGATATCTATTGAGCAAGCCATATAATGTTTGATGTACAGACACACTTACAAGGAATAAATGGTTTTTCAACAAGGTTGTTTACTTCACATAGGAGTGGTATTGTTGGCCAGGTAACCACCTTATAAATAAGCAGAGCCCTTTGACTGAAAATGTGACATTTCTCAAAATGAAAATTGTCTACATACTTAGTTTATTTTAATTTTTGGAGGAACCCCACCCGCACTACACAAATCCATACAGGATGAACGAAAGGAAGCAAATATGGAACCTTTCAACTCCTCCAAGTAATTTACATGTTTCTTTGTCTGAAACAAAGCTGTATTAAAACAATCCTGATGACTAGGTTTCTGGTTTCTTTACAGGTTGTGAAAAAAGTCAATCCTTGTGATCAAGTGAGTACACTTGCTTCTCCTTGTTCCCCCTCCCACCCACCAAATACTTGTATTTTTACCTAACTTGCCTCTTAGTCCAACTCACACCAAAGCATTTATTGACTACTTCCATTAATTGTTGTGTGGCAACTTTTGTTGAAAGTTAGCATTATTATGGCTAAAGTAATAGAGAGCTGTTATTGTTTTAAATCTCACGACTTTAGCAAAAGTCTTGGGGGGGGGGGGGGGGGGTTCTTCTTTTTTACAAAGTAATAATTATATCCTGGACTGAGTAAATTCTAAGGTTGACAACCAAGGCATATAGAAGGAAAACAATTGCGTAACCAGAGGTGGAGTTTACTAGCTACTATATAACTTATTACCAAATTGAAAGATTGTTTTATTATTATTTATTATACTAGCATTTTGAATTTGTTTTAAGTTTCAATTAAATAGAAGAGAAAACATTAAAACTGCTGAGAAACAATAGTTTAAAAATTCATTTCCTACTTCATGCTCATATTTATTTTTATTTTTCTCACTGAGGGCAGTAAGGCATTTCTCCATAGTATAACTCTAATATATGTGTTTGTATTGTGCTGCAAGACTGAATTGGAGTGCTTAACATACTGGAATGTTCTCACTATTTTAAAAAAATGGAGACAAGAGTGTAGTTGGTCCCGTAGGGAGAAGACTATTATCCAAATGTTGGCTAGGTCTCCTGAGGACTGACTTCAGAGCAGGAAGCTTTTTACATGGAAACCTTATGTTCCCACGGGGAAATGTTTAAAAGCACATGGAGTATTTTGACACTCTTTTCTTATTGAAAGTCATTGGCACCTGAGTGTTGTTTTTGTCTTTTTAAAAAAAGATTGCCCCCAAGTCCTTTAGGCACACGGGTTTCAAAATTTTAGCTGAAGGCACCTGTAGAAAACTAACCTGATTTTTTTTTCCAGAGGTGCTGAGCACCCACTTCTCCCATAAACATCAGTGGTCGCTAGAGATGCTCCCTACCTCTCAAAGTCATCAGTTTTATTTAGATGCCTATAGTATAGATTTGGAAGCCTATCACTGGACACACAAATTTGAAAATGGTCTTAGTGCATAGGTGCCACATTGTCATTTATACAGAACTTTCTGCAGAATTAGATCACCATAGGAAGAGCTTGGGAATTGTCTGCTAGACCCCCCCTCCACACACACACTTCTCCAGGGCTGCAAACTACCCATAGTGGGCCTTCAGAGAGGATTGCGAGTTGGAGCCATCCCTTCTCAACAAACCAGACAGTGTCAAAATGCTCTGGTTGCAACACAATTCCCCTGGCAGTTTCTTTTAGATTGCTTTGGCTTGGCAATGCCTTTCATAGAGGCCAATATATAATCTACTAATTTGCCCCCATAATTATTCTGAGGGGCTGTGTCTAGACTGGCAAGTTTTTTCGCAAAATCATCTGCTTTTGCGGAAAAGCATCCTGCCAATCTAGATGTGCTTTTCCGAAAATGCTTTTAACGGAAAAGTTTTCCGTTAAAAGCATTTTCGGAAAAGCACATCTAGATTGGCAGGATGCTTTTCCGCAAAAGGTGCTTTTGCGGAAAAGCATCCTGCCAATCTAGATGTGCTTTTCCGAAAATGCTTTTAACGGAAAAGTTTTCCGTTAAAAGCATTTTCGGAAAAGCACATCTAGATTGGCAGGATGCTTTTCCGCAAAAGGTGCTTTTGCGGAAAAGCATCCTGCCAATCTAGATGTGCTTTTCCGAAAATGCTTTTAACGGAAAAGTTTTCCGTTAAAAGCATTTTCAGAAAATCATGCCAGTGTAGACGTAGCCAGGGGGTTTTGTTGGGTTGGGAGGTTATTTATGGTTTTGATTTTTCTTGTGTTAAACTTTTCTGAAACGTCCATTTTAGAACTTTCATTTAGTCTCTGGTGATGATCAGAAGGGGCAAAATAAGGAAAAAGCAGACGCTCCCCTCACTGAGTAAATAAATGCAAATAGTTTTCTTTTCCTGAGAGATGCTGATATTCAAACATCCCATATTACACAGAAGTAATTATTGTTGGGTTTCTTTGCAGAGTTCATCCTCCTACAACATCGTGATCTGTAGACGTGTAAGTACCATCTTACCACTGGGTTTAACAATTTGTCCTGATGTGCCTCTTACAGGCTACATCTACACTGCAGCACTATTTCGGGATAGTGGAGACATCCCAAAATAACTATCCCATGTCTTAGCAGCAAGCCCATTATTTGAAAATATAACAGGCTCACTATTCTGATGTCTGTGTAAACTTCACTACATGAGGAGTAAGGGGCATTTCAGAATAATGGTTTATTTTGAAATTTGGCACTGTAGACTGCGCCAAATTACAGAATAAGCTATTTCAAAATTGACTCAAAATGAGCTACGCAATTTGCGTAGCTCAAATTGTGTAGCTTATTTCAAGGTATGGGTACAGTGTAGACACAGCCACAATGACCAAAAATGTAAGGCTGCATTCTGGATGGCTCTTACATAGGCCTGTTGAGAAAGGAGAGGTTGAACTCTGAAGGGAAAAGGGTGACCAGAATTGCAGCCCCTTCACAAAAGGGATTGACAGGATAGGAAGAGGTATAAGTTAACCATGGCTCTGCCTTCTCCATGGTGGGACATGTGTTTGATGTACACAAGAGGAGTAGCAGTTTGCAGTTCACCCACTGCACTGGAGAAGTGTGGGAAACTGTATGAGGCAGAATGTGTCTTCACTGCTCCCTGTCAATGGTGAAAAGTAAGATAGGGGCTTATTCAACATTGTTGACTCAAGCAAAACTCTCATCAGGTTAATATTCTGATTAAATACTTCAGATTCCTTTGTAATTAAATAACCTGTGTGTGTACATTTGCCTCCTGCTGGTACATTACTCTAATTTTCCTAGGAAATTCTCTTAGCTCAGCCTGGCAACTGGAGGATGATCACTGAATATACACAAACCTCAAAGTTCATTAGAATTTGTCTCCTCTATGCCTCTGTATGAATCCCTTCAAGCCCACTCAGTATATTTTCTCTGGGGAGGAGATTTGATTACCATTAAGTAAACCATACTCTTTCACCACACTTTCTCAGGCGTATACGCTCAACTTTCCATACAGTAGCCTAAAGGAACAGAAGGGGTATATTCTTCTCTGCATATTCCTTCCGTCATCCAGCCAATACAAATGGGTTTATTTTCCTGAGATGGTATGACATTTAATCAAGCTTTTTTACAACAAAATTACTGATTTATGCTTTCTTTACAGATTCACTCTTCTGCCACACAGAACAACCCTGTCAATGGCCAAGTATGTACTTTTTCCTGTTCTGTAGAGTTTCTTGAGGGTTTTTTGTTTTGTTTTTGCTTTTAAAGCACAGCAAGCTTTTAAGCAGCCAAATTTTTAAAACATAAATGTGATCTATTGGTACCATTGGTGATGTGAGCTGTATTTTTTTTAACATCTACAGTAATCAAATTTACTCTTTGTGAATATTCTAGCAAATTCACGTTTGGTGAGAACCAACACAAATGGCCCAAAGTCAAATAGAGCCATTGGGTTGACTGCAATTATTTGTGTTATTGTTAAATAAGAACAGGATGCTGGGTAATACTGCCAATCAGCTCTCCATCAGTTAGCTGTGGTCATGTAATGGATAAATCCTTTTGTATTAATGTATTCCCTCAAAACACATTATAAATAGATCATTAACAGCTAGGGCCTCTATGGTTTCTTGGTATTGTCTCACATTAATATTAATTTAGCCTCAACTTAGATGTGTACTCAAGTTGCTAAGGGTCATACAATTAACTTAAAAACCAACAAACCATTAATTCAGACTGTCTTCTTTTTACTCCTGCACTAACTTTTTTACTGAATAATTCTGGAACAGTTTCCATTTCCTCTTTCTTTTTCTTTCTTCTTTTTTGCCCCCTCTCCCCAATCTTCCCCAAATTTTACACAAGCACATTTAAAAAAGGAAACACATCTTTTTTCATTGCTTAGGGAAGCTGTCCTATAGTTTCCAGCCCTTTTGCAATTCTAGTCATGTTCTCCATGTTATTCAAACACCAATCATTCGTGTTTAGATTCGTTCTTAAATGTTGTACAATGATCATGTTATGTATCCCTTCACAAACAAATAACTGGCTTCTTTAGAGAAATCAGCCCTCCTTCAAAAGCCAGGTAAATAATATTTATCATTCTCCCATTTCCCCCCTGAATGTTGCTTTCTTTACCTTAGCACTCATAAGAAAAATTACTAGCTGAAGCCAGCTTCTAAAGCAGGGATGGGGAACCTTTTTTGGGTTGGGTGTCAGTGAACTACAGCAAAATCAGTCAGAGGTTAGGCACAAGTGAAAAGGAAAAAAACAACAACCCTCATTGACTTGGTTCCTGACTGAGAAGGAGAAATACGTTCCCCTCACACCAGAGCCTGGGGGGAGGGAGGGACATGCTAGTAGATTTAGTATGCTCCAGCCCTGCATGGGAATGGTACAGGGAAGAGGCTGAAGCACTACTGCGGGCTCCACAATTCTGGGGGGAGCCGCGAGTCTCAGGGGCCGGATCCAGGTGAGCTAGGGGCAGCATCCGGCCCCAGATCTTAGGTTCCCACCCCGGTTCTAAAGGATGGCCATCGAATTGATGGGATCCTAGATACCTTATACTTCATTAAAGGTTCAGGTGCACACAACTACACAGACTCCATATGTTGACATGTATTTATGAATACAAATTAAACAAAAAGCTCAGAATGCAGAAGTGCTTTGCTTAATCTAGGCATAACAACCTAATTTGCAGATATGCTGTTTGCAGCTGATTTAGAGTTGTTACCACATGAGGCAAATCAGCTGCAAACAGTCTTCTTCACTAGTGTCCTGAAATGATGTCAAAATCTATGGGCCAAATTCTGTGTCCTTATTTGTCTCTGTCACTTCCTTGGCTTCTTCTTCCAGTTAAACAGTATTCAAACATGCTAGTAGTACATTTTCACCAGAAGAGCAGTGATAGCTGGTAAGCTTTGGAGCAAGTGGTGTAGAGCAGAAAATAAGAAAAGTCTGGTCCCATGAATAACATACAGTACCTGCCTCTCCAGAAACCACACCAGGGAATGGCAAGCTGGTCCCTGAAACATATGTGTGGACTAGAGGGGTGTTAACTATAGAACCTTGTTGGCCCTGGTGCACTGTAGATCAGTGGTTCTCAATCTGCTTACCATTGTGGGCCACTATGCAGCTGTCTGTGTTCTGTGGACTGCATCTACAATATATATATAAAATATACTAACAGTATGGTTCGGAGGATGCCACAGCTGTGTGCTAATTTGGCCACAAGTGGCCCCCAGACCATGAGTTGAGAACTACTGCTCTAAATGGACCTAGAGCACATTAATATAGTCCTACTTGAAAGGAGGCTAAATCAGTGAGAACTAGGTACATTTTAGAACAGGAGTGGGCAATAAAATGGTAGCGGTTCACTAGGATTAGGTTTATTTTCCTGAGATGGTATGACATTTAATCAAGCTTTTTTACAACAAAATTACTGATTTATGCTTTCTTTACAGATTCACTCTTCTGCCACACAGAACAACCCTGTCAATGGCCAAGTATGTACTTTTTCCTGTTCTGTAGAGTTTCTTGAGGGTTTTTTGTTTTGTTTTTGCTTTTAAAGCACAGCAAGCTTTTAAGCAGCCAAATTTTTAAAACATAAATGTGATCTATTGGTACCATTGGTGATGTGAGCTGTATTTTTTTTAACATCTACAGTAATCAAATTTACTCTTTGTGAATATTCTAGCAAATTCACGTTTGGTGAGAACCAACACAAATGGCCCAAAGTCAAATAGAGCCATTGGGTTGACTGCAATTATTTGTGTTATTGTTAAATAAGAACAGGATGCTGGGTAATACTGCCAATCAGCTCTCCATCAGTTAGCTGTGGTCATGTAATGGATAAATCCTTTTGTATTAATGTATTCCCTCAAAACACATTATAAATAGATCATTAACAGCTAGGGCCTCTATGGTTTCTTGGTATTGTCTCACATTAATATTAATTTAGCCTCAACTTAGATGTGTACTCAAGTTGCTAAGGGTCATACAATTAACTTAAAAACCAACAAACCATTAATTCAGACTGTCTTCTTTTTACTCCTGCACTAACTTTTTTACTGAATAATTCTGGAACAGTTTCCATTTCCTCTTTCTTTTTCTTTCTTCTTTTTTGCCCCCTCTCCCCAATCTTCCCCAAATTTTACACAAGCACATTTAAAAAAGGAAACACATCTTTTTTCATTGCTTAGGGAAGCTGTCCTATAGTTTCCAGCCCTTTTGCAATTCTAGTCATGTTCTCCATGTTATTCAAACACCAATCATTCGTGTTTAGATTCGTTCTTAAATGTTGTACAATGATCATGTTATGTATCCCTTCACAAACAAATAACTGGCTTCTTTAGAGAAATCAGCCCTCCTTCAAAAGCCAGGTAAATAATATTTATCATTCTCCCATTTCCCCCCTGAATGTTGCTTTCTTTACCTTAGCACTCATAAGAAAAATTACTAGCTGAAGCCAGCTTCTAAAGCAGGGATGGGGAACCTTTTTTGGGTTGGGTGTCAGTGAACTACAGCAAAATCAGTCAGAGGTTAGGCACAAGTGAAAAGGAAAAAAACAACAACCCTCATTGACTTGGTTCCTGACTGAGAAGGAGAAATACGTTCCCCTCACACCAGAGCCTGGGGGGAGGGAGGGACATGCTAGTAGATTTAGTATGCTCCAGCCCTGCATGGGAATGGTACAGGGAAGAGGCTGAAGCACTACTGCGGGCTCCACAATTCTGGGGGGAGCCGCGAGTCTCAGGGGCCGGATCCAGGTGAGCTAGGGGCAGCATCCGGCCCCAGATCTTAGGTTCCCACCCCGGTTCTAAAGGATGGCCATCGAATTGATGGGATCCTAGATACCTTATACTTCATTAAAGGTTCAGGTGCACACAACTACACAGACTCCATATGTTGACATGTATTTATGAATACAAATTAAACAAAAAGCTCAGAATGCAGAAGTGCTTTGCTTAATCTAGGCATAACAACCTAATTTGCAGATATGCTGTTTGCAGCTGATTTAGAGTTGTTACCACATGAGGCAAATCAGCTGCAAACAGTCTTCTTCACTAGTGTCCTGAAATGATGTCAAAATCTATGGGCCAAATTCTGTGTCCTTATTTGTCTCTGTCACTTCCTTGGCTTCTTCTTCCAGTTAAACAGTATTCAAACATGCTAGTAGTACATTTTCACCAGAAGAGCAGTGATAGCTGGTAAGCTTTGGAGCAAGTGGTGTAGAGCAGAAAATAAGAAAAGTCTGGTCCCATGAATAACATACAGTACCTGCCTCTCCAGAAACCACACCAGGGAATGGCAAGCTGGTCCCTGAAACATATGTGTGGACTAGAGGGGTGTTAACTATAGAACCTTGTTGGCCCTGGTGCACTGTAGATCAGTGGTTCTCAATCTGCTTACCATTGTGGGCCACTATGCAGCTGTCTGTGTTCTGTGGACTGCATCTACAATATATATATAAAATATACTAACAGTATGGTTCGGAGGATGCCACAGCTGTGTGCTAATTTGGCCACAAGTGGCCCCCAGACCATGAGTTGAGAACTACTGCTCTAAATGGACCTAGAGCACATTAATATAGTCCTACTTGAAAGGAGGCTAAATCAGTGAGAACTAGGTACATTTTAGAACAGGAGTGGGCAATAAAATGGTAGCGGTTCACTAGGATTAGCCCTGGCAGGCTGCCACTTCTATATTTACCTGCGTCTCTACAGGTACTGGTGATTGCAGCTCCTGTTGACCATGGATCACCATTCCTAGCCAGTGAGATCCGTGGGAAGTGAGACGGACTAGGACACCATTCCCACAGCTCCCATTGGCTGGGAACAGCAATTCGTGGCCAACAGGACCTGCAAACGCTCATATTCACTTAGTTGCAGGTAAATATAGTTGTGGTGGCCTACCCAGGTCTAACCCTGGTGGACCTATTTGCTCACCCCTTTTTCACAAATCTCCAACAGGGTTTATCCTGGGTCAGTAAGATATGAATTACAGCAGTCTATAGTCACTGCAGCTTGTGGCTTGGGAAGTACTCCAAGCCCTACTGAAAATCAATGTTGGCTTCACTTTTGGTTAGACCTTAACTACAGTATGTACCAGAGGAGTGGTGGTGGAGAACATCTCGCTACTAAATATGAATTACAAACACCACAATCTGTAGAAGGCTGCTAAAGATTTATGGTGTTTGTGGTTTGTATTTACTTGCAAATGTATATTCTCTTGCTCTCTCATATACACTCTATGGGTACGTCTACACAGAAGCATTATTTCAGAATCGCTGACCTTATTCCAAAATAACATCATGCATGTCTACACTATAAGCCTTTATTTCAAAATAATGTCGAATTGGAAGACTTCTTACTCTGTCTCCTGTAACCCTCATTTCATGAGGAGTAAGGGAAGTCAAAGGAAGAGTGTTCTTCCTTCACTTCCTGCTGTGTAGACAGCACCTAAAGCCAAGTTAAGCTATTTCGATTTAAGCTACGCAATTGATATAGCTGAAGTTGCATTGCTCAATTCAACTTTAGCCCTGCTGTGTAGATGTAGTCTATGTTTGCACTTGCATACTTAGTTGGGCAGTGTTCCCAATGCCCTCCATACACATGCTGCCATTGCATAAAAGTAACATCTGTTTCAGTGTATTTACAACTTATGGTCAGGATGGAAATGTCAGAGTACCTGGGGGCACATCTAGATGACACTCAGAATCCGAAATAAGAAATGCAAATTCGGCTCGAATTTGCATATCTTCCTTTTTTTTTCCGGAAGAGGCTTTTCCAATATTTGGTCTGTCTACACAGGGCCAAATATCAGACAATCCCCCTCTTTCAAAAGCCCCCTGTAAACCTCCTTTTAGGAGGAATAAGGGGACTTTCAGAAGAGGGTTTTTTCTGATATTTGGCCCCGTGTAGACAGGCCAAATATTAGAAAAGCCTAATCCTGGGGAAAAAAATTGAAGAAGATATGCAAATTTGAGCCAAATTTACATATCTTCTTTCAGAAGCTGTGCGTAGTCTAGACGTGCCCTGGTGACTAAGGACCCTAATTGCCATTTTTAAGAGTTACTTAGACACTTAAGAGCCTAAATCCCATTGACTTTCAAATAGATTAAAGTTCTAAAGTAGCCTGAATCACTTTTGAAAATGGGAGCTGGGTTCCTAAGTCATTCAAGTGCTTCTGAAAATGTTAACCTGGACCCAAACCTCACTGCTGTAAATGAGTCTTTCCATTGACTTCAGTGGACATTGGATCAAGCCCTAAATGTATAAATACCTACTTCTCTCATTTAAAAGGTAAATCTTTCCATAATGTAGGATGACATGATAAAGGGAAATAAATTGGAAAACTTACTATCCTCTGATGCGTCTCTACTTCAGACAAACTTACAGGCTCTATCAGCTTCAACTATTACTTCTACAATGAAAATAAGTTGAGAATTTTTTCAACAGGGTGAATCGTCTTCCTCAGTTGTCAGTTCGGCTTGTGGACAAGTAAGTACTTTTCCTCCTCTATATGCAGAGATTTATCTTTATTTGCTAATTAGTGTTTTTATAAATTGGATTGTTCCCATTAACTAAAGTAGGAACTTTTTTGTTTCCATTATTCTGTCTGAAATTATACAATGCAAAGAGCCAGAGAGACTGACATTGGCTACTGTCCTGAACTGGAATGGCCTGGAATAATGAGAACCTGGCTATATAAGGAGGAAAAGGGAGTCAAATATGAAGTCAAAGTGCGGATAGTGAAACTAGATAAAATAATAGAGTAAATAACGAAAAAGGCAGGCTGAAACTAGAAGCTTCAGGAGGAAAGATAAGTGGTTTTGCCAGGAAATGAATAGTTTGGGTTTCTTTTTACACAGGGTACTTCATACGACAGCAATCCCTGCCACCAGGTGAGTAACCTTTTCCCATTGTTTTTAAGGTTTGCCTTAAACTGGTAGATAGTAATGGAATATGTTGTTGTAAATTTAATTTCTTTTTCTCAGAAAGTGGGACAATGCTGCACTCAGAATTATGATATTTCTCTGAAAGATCTGTGCAAATCTCATCAGGTTTCTTTATTAATATTAGATTTAGTTTTTTAAAGTACAAACATTCTTACATGACTTTAGAGAATTTGACTGTCATTAGAGTACCTATGGGTATGTCTACACTACAATGTTAGTTCGAACTAACGGACATTAGTTCGAACTAACATTCATAGCCGCTACACTAGCGCATTTCTCTGAAAGATCTGTGCAAATCTCATCAGGTTTCTTTATTAATATTAGATTTAGTTTTTTAAAGTACAAACATTCTTACATGACTTTAGAGAATTTGACTGTCATTAGAGTACCTATGGGTATGTCTACACTACAATGTTAGTTCGAACTAACGGACATTAGTTCGAACTAACATTCATAGCCGCTACACTAGCGCTCCGCTAGTTCGAATTTGAATCGAACTAGCGGAGCGCTTAGTTCGAACTAGGAAAACCTCATATTACAAGGATTAAGCCTAGTTCGAACTTACTAGTTCGAATTAAGGGGTGTGTAGCCCCTTAATTTGAACTAGTGGGAGGCTAGCCCTCCCCAGGTTTCCCTGGTGGCCACTCTGGCCAACACCAGGGAAACTC